CGGGGCTCGCCCCCGTCGGGAGGGGCGGGGCCGGCCGGACCCTCAGGGATGGAGGGGCCGGGGCGGCGGGGCTCGGATCGGCCGCGTCCCTCGGCCAGGGCTGCCCGCCCTCCTTCCTCTCCCTCCCCGCCTCCCCCGCTCCGCCTGCCCGCGCCCCCTGCTCCGGGAGCCACCGTGCAACGGAGCCTGGTTCCTTCATCCATCGCGCACCCGCGAGAAGCGCAGCGGAGCCTCTTAGCTGACCGCGGTGGGAGTCTGTGCCTGCACTGTTACAGCTCCACGAAGACCCACCGTCCTTTCCTTATTTCTGCTTGGGATATCCTTAATTTAGCAAAGGCAGCAACTGAGAAAGTCTTTTGGTCTTCCATCTGTGATTAGAAATTCAAATTAAACTTAGTGTTATGTCAAACTCTGAACTTAAAACCCAAATCTTCACCAGCATTTAAGCCTGACCTAGACAAAACACATTTTTGTTGTGGACAGTAATGGACTGAAGCAGTTCAAATCCTATAACGAGCCCTTCTGCTCAGCTGCTGCTTGGTTCTGCTACAGCAATGTGGTATTTGCAGGCACAATGCTGCCCCTGAAGCTCCAGCCCAGTAATAAATATTATTATGTATCTCATCCACAACAGAACCTATGGCAAGCATGTTGAACCCTACCTGGACTCTTATCTTACAGAACGCATATCTCATTCACAGCCTTGGTTTTATTCAAAGCCTAAGACCTTGGCTACAAAAGGCCAATAAGAGAAATGTCACCTCTGTCCCTCTCCTGTGGGCAGCACACGGGGACCCTCTCCCTGTCCAGGTGACTTCTCAGAGCTGGGACTCATAAGGGACGCACTCAGGAAAGTGAAAGGGAAGCACTCATAAGGGATGCAGTCAAGAAAATCAAGAAAGGGGAGCTGCCAGACCCTGCCCAGCTCTCAAGGACCTCCGTAGGAAGCTCCAGGGAGAATCCTGGAGCAGCAATTGTGGCAGAGCAGCTGAAGGCCACCAGACACAAAGATGGAGAGGACACAAGCAAGGCAGGAACGCTGCAGGCTCTGAGAGGCCAGAGCTGTTCTTTTGTGCTGCAGCACCATCAATTTGCAGAGGCTGTTACAGGATCCTTCTGTCCCTGCACACACCACTGGAGGCCAGGCCATCTACGCCTCCTCATTTCCACTGACCCTGCCCAGAACCCTCATGTCTTTCAGTCTGTTCCAGTAAGAAAGATTTAATGGCCCAAAATCACAAGAGAGGCGGCAGTTGAGCCATTCAGATGGCAGTCAGCTATTTGTATCATAAAGGACAAGGAAGCACTAGAACAGATTACAGGACCTCTGTGATGAGAGCCTTTGATAACAAACACTTAGCAAGATTCTCAGATGAATACGATTCTGCTTTGAGAAGCATACAGAACAGATAATTTCAGATAATTTCTTGGTGCCCCTTCTGATCATGCTACAATGTAAACCTGCTACTGGTATCCCATAGAACAAGAACAGAGCATGAAAAAAGTAAAGTTTACTGCTATCTTGTCCAACTCCCTGTCAACTTCCTTGCCTAATTTATTATGTGTATTTTTACTTAACTTTGAGGCAAAAATTATGTTATTTCTATTATTACTAACATCTTACTTATCTTACTCATTATCTGACGAGTATCCTCTTTAAATATTTGCTCAAAAAGCTTAGAGAATACACTCAGCTTGCTCACAAGCTAGGGATGTTCCTTTGCATCTTTTTTGCTCACACCAGTGGGGCTGGCCTGGGCAATGTGTAAATAAACACACATACACATATATATATATATATGCAGATATTTTGTTACTGCCTTTATGTGCTGGTATTAAAGGAATTCCATGTGCCATCTGCTGGGGGAAACTTTCTCTGAGGCAATGTGCTGTACTGACACAGCTGACTGCACTGCTGGCACCATGAGGAGGCAGACATTTCTCAAGAGGAAGCTTTATTCTGTTAATGCATCAACTTCCAGCACAGATGCAAAGGACACACAGAAGGTCAGGGTCAAGATGAGTCTGTAAAAGAGCACAAACCTCTCGACCTGTGTCACAGCACGACAGCCTGGCAGCAAGAAGGAGCTCATTTTCAAATCCTACTTCACTTGAACCTCCAAAGTGTTCAGCTTACAAATGCCATGATCACACTCAGGAGGTGAACTGCATTTTAAAGACAAGTTATTTAGCTACTCACTAAGTGAATAATTCTCAATTTACTCGCAGATAGAAAAATCACTGCAAGCTTATGAGACAGGCAGCTTTCCTTGCCATGCCATAACAAGCAGACAGGAATGCAGCACCCACTTTTCAGAAGCACTCTTCAGTTTCCTGTACCCAACACTCAGCACCAGTAACTGTCTTTAAAACCACCAGCAGCACTTGGCTGTCACACTCGTGCCAGTCTGACTGGGAAATGTGGTTTCAGGCACAGGAACGAGGAAAATCAGCTTTGCTAACACACCCTGCACTGCCACATTAGGAGCACAGTTACACATAACTCCAGTGTGAACCCAGATATCCATTGCTATCAAAACAGCTGCTCTGCTCTTTCTTTATACCCCCAGCAAGAGATCCCCACTGGTGGCCCTGACTGATCACAGGAGTAGATGGATTAAGTCTCATTGATCCAATGGAAAACTACACTTACCATTAGTTTTTCTGGGAATTGCAAAATTGCTATAACCAGCACCATGAAAGGGGAAAATATAAAACTAGAACATAAAATAAGCTCAGTAAGTAGAAATCTCAGACAAAATTATTTCTCCAAGTTTTAAGATGTTGTCTACCAGAACAAAAAAAACAAAGCAAACAAAACAAAACCCAGAAATGCAACTGCCAGGGACATAGCCCTTAATTCTCTGTTAAAAAGGGAAAAGAACTGGCACTAGTGGTGGATGTGGAAGTCCACAAATGGTTGAGTTAATGAACAATCTCATGATAGTTTCCTGCTATAAAACTTTGAGATGCAATTTAAGTGCTCATCTTCTCAGGAATGAGAAGTTCCTACCACAACACACAAAAAGTACATCCACTTTTTCCTAGAATATTTCCTGAAAACCCAAAACTGCTGGAGGCAAAGCTGCTGCCAAAAGGCAGGCAATTAAACACCACCTTCATTTCAGGATTATTTCCACTCTAGCTTCATCTGCAAGTCTAGGTGAGAAGTGCAGAACCACGCATGCCACCTAAACTGTTACTCCAAATACAACATTGTCAAACTAGAAAGGAACAGGGTGTTGAACAAACTGTAAAATGTTTTGACTCAAAGTGTTGTACAGCAGATGGAGCTACCAGGATGGCCCACAAATGGCCACCTACACTTGAGAAAACCCAACAATGATAAATATACAGAATCTATCCCATCAAGGGAGTGTCTTCAGCTTTTTTCTACTGCAAAATGACACACAGACATTCACAACAAAGCAACTCTCCAAGTCTCACATCAGCAAAGATTTGAAAGAAATAAATGTAATTAGTTTGCAATGCTTATTTGGGTGTCACATAAAGTTCAAGTTCTTCTCCTGACTAATTTCTATAATTGTGTCACCTTTGCTTCTCTTAAGAGATAAAAACAGGAGAGGGGGTGGGGACTGAGAAAAGGCATTTGTTGTTTCACCATATGGCAATGACAAAAGTGAAAATCATTTGTTTCAAACCAGATGCCTCCTGGAAGATCATGTGTCCATCCATTGCCAGACTTCCCAAGATTTGGACACTCCTCCCTTTTATCAGAGCTAAGTGCACTGCAAGGGCTCCACAGGTCCCCCTTCACCTCCTCTATGCTCCTTTCTCCAGAAAATGATCCATCTAGACAACTGCTGGATTTTTCAACCAGATCCAGAAATGCTCACAACTGCCTGATAAGTTTATTTAGCAAAAGAGAAAATCAGTTTTCCAAATGAAAACTTAATCTCTCCAGCTGACTAGAAATATTCATGGGTCTTAAGTTTCTGTTGATAATTCCAAAGACTTTGAGAAATCCTGTGTGAGAAAAACCACAGGATTCTGTAACTGCTCACACTATTTCACATCAGCCTTGTACATTCTTGTACAGCCTTCAAAAAATCACTACTGAAATAAGCAGCTACATTCAAAAATAGTTGAATCTACCAAAGTTAGTAATATTACATAACAAACCAACAAACATTAGTTTGGGAATCTTTGGATCAAAATACAGTTTTTCATCTTTGAAGTTCAAATGAGGGCTCTAAGAGAGAATTTTTGTATCAATCTGGACAGATACGTGCTAACATAATGTAATTTTTACTTTGACTGTACTCACAGGGAATGGCCATTATCATCTAATAACCTTTCATCCCATTAAAGAACACAAAAAATAGGTCTTCAGACACACAAGCAGGTTATGCAATAACTGACCTACACCAAATGTAAAACAGGCTTTCAAGAAGTCCCTCAGATGCTTCTAATGAACATCTTTCACGCTCCCACAAGTCCCAGGCTGGAACAGCTCCATCACTGACACCCTCCTGGTGCTGAGGAATGCAGTGGGCACAAGGATTCCCATGGCAAAGTGATATAAACACAGCAGTGCACATAACATTTATAAAAGTGCAAGATTCTTGGATTCACTAATAACACAGGAGAGATTCAATAAATATGTTTTATTTTATTCCAAAAGAAAGATATTGGAGGCCCACTTTTGTTTGGGCAAAACACTCATGGCAACTTCCCCACCCTCAGCCTCACATGTACATGCTGAGGACAGAATTCCAAATATTTCAGGAGTTGTAACATCTCCCTTCATGTGGTACCTTCTCATCCTCAACCTGCCCAGGACAGAATAGCTTAAAATTCCTGCAGGACAATATAGGGTTGACCTCCCCTACTCCAAAACCTCTGTGGGGTATTTTTAGAGACTCAAACAAAATGCATCTTGTTTCCTTTCAAGTCAGACAGTGGCCCTAAACTAGAGTGATTTATATATGACAAACTGAGAATTAATGGCCAATTTCATAAACAAATTTCTTAAAGTTCATTCATGACAAAAGAGTCTTGTCCAGAACATTGTTTCACAAGTGTCCATAAATACAAATAATGTGTATTTGTATTTGAAACTGGGATAAGACTGAGAACAGTGTCCATGTTGTGTAAACTGAAAAGGGAAATGCACGACATCTGCAAATCAGCCACATGGGAAAAGTTAAATACTTCTTTGCTAGACTCTAAAAGTGAAGTCATCAACCCAAAGAGCAAGTCACTGTGTCACTGCCACTGCCTGGCATCCAGCAGGTACTTGGAAACATCAAAGAAACCACTTCCAACTGCACAAGTCCAAGAAACGAAGTGCCAAAACCAAAATGTAAAGCAAAACTGCATTGCAATACTTTCTGAGAACACAATTCCACCAGCAAGAGGCTTTTCTTGGGATGAAAGTCCTTATCTTAACACAACACCAAAACAGCCCTTCTCCTTAGGTAAAGATCTTCTCTTTCCTCATGGGCCTGTCACGTTAGGTGTTCAGCCATGATCTTCCACAATTCCTGCAGGAGCAGAAAAAACACATACAGGTATTTTCTCACATCAGTAGGTTTGATTATGAAAATTATGCAATTATGAAAAAATTCCACATGCTCACTGTAAGACAAGTTTTAAGACATACCCTATACCTCCATCTATAGATAGTATCCATCTGTGGATGGATACCAAATCCATTTCTGTAATTTCCTGGAAGAATTATTTGAAACAGAGCACTATAGCTGATTGCTTCATTCTTGTAGCGTGATTTAAAAAAAATAATGTGTGTTTAGTATAAAGTAGTTTGTTTTAAGATAGTTTGAAATTAGCTGGTCATGGTGCTAATAATGCCGAGGTTGTGGGTTGGATCCCTGTATGAGGCCATTCATTTAAGAGTTGGATTCAATTGTCCTTGTGGATGACAGAATGTTCTGTGATTCTGTGATTCACTGATCTGCATGATCTTGATTGATAATCCTGCTAATCCTACATACTTTGACTGATAATCCTGCTATTTTTCTTAGCTTGTGTTGACAAATGGTTTCAATAATGCTGGTAAAAAAACAGCTGAAGAAATAATTTACTGAGGAATCAAAGTCTCACAAATGCATGGCTTATATAAACACAAACCCCCTTTTCAATCCTACAGACAACAAGGATGAAAAATCCTTAATCACTTCATTTCTTTAGAATATATTAATATATGCTTCGTCTGCTCCACAGAGGATAATTAAGCAGACTATCACACACTCTTCACCATGACATCTCTGATTTGTGGCAATAGATCTAATGATAAATAAAAACATTAAAAACATTTTAAAAATGCAGAGATTTCAAGGGTCAGCCGCCTTCCTCAAAACAGCCAGGGAATGAGTTTACACATTTATCTATAAAGCAGGTTACTTTTGTATACTTTAAAAACTTTTAAACATGTTTTATGCCTGAAGGTATCAGCATTAAGTAAAATAAATCAATCACATGAAGCAGCTGTGGCTCCTGCGATCTCACTATGCATACACACAGTATGTTCACAAAAATAACATAATTTCTTGTTACCAGATTTGCAATCCAGTGCAAGATTTGCATCTCATCTAAAAAGATTCATTAGATTGGATTGTTCTAGAAGTCTGTTAGCTGTTATCCTGCATAATATTCCTAAGAGCAGATAATTTGGAAAAAAAATGGAGAAAGAGAACCATAAGAGCTTGAGAGGTAATTAGGTAACCAGAAATAATATATCTGACATGTTTCTCAAAAACAGAAGCTTACAGCTAATTGACTTCTTCATAGATATTAGAACATTATGTCCTGAACTCTGAACTGGGAAAGGAACTACTGAAAGTGTGAAATGAAAGCTCTCCTACAAGAAAATAAATGAGAAGAGATATTGGTCCCATTTTCCAGTTCAATCACAAAAAATGGCATTTTACAAAGTAAAGGTCTCTCTCCTTTGAGGAACTGAGTGCAATCTCAGCCACCCTACTGCTGGTGATAGAAAATCAATTCTGTCCCAGCCAAAACCAGGACATGTCAATCTAGTACAGATTATGTAAGCACAAACAAGGATCATTTTAAATCAAAAAAAAAACTAAGTGGAAATGAAAGATAATGTTTATTCTTCTGTTCTTCCTTCATGTTCCATAAACAGCTGATAACTAATTTGAGATGATTAGCCTGACACATTACATTTGTTTTCATGAATGCCACTTACCAACTGCTCAATCCTTTCATAAACAAGGAACTGGCAGAAATCAGGCTTAATGTGCTCCACTGTATATTTCATTTTTCCATCTTGGAGGTTCTCTAGATCATTTAGAGTATTTCTAAAGTGACTGTAGGCTTCACATGTGATATCCATATGTCTTAAAGTGAAGTTCAGCCTGGCAAAAGAGTATTTCATTTAGAACATCTCTCCTATACTGGCATCTTAAATAGGTGTGTAACTTCCCTCAGCTAATGAAAAAAAATGAATCTTCTCAGCATAATTAACTCCCTTCAGCAGCCAAAAAAATGTACACTCCCCATTCCTGAAAAGCAGAAAAGATGTTATGTCAGCACCAGTACACAATAACTCTTGGATGAACTTTCCCACTAATTTTAGGGCACTTTGCCACAACAGAATCATTGGCTTGGCTTCCTGGACAAACACCTGGCAGCAAACCACAGGAAGAGTTATTACTTGCACATGTCTAGAGATTTAAGCAAAGCCTATTTGTGTATCAGCTTATGAATGGACTCCAACACACAATTACTTAAAAATGTTCATTGATTCCTTGAAAGCAAACAAGAGAAACTGTTCTAGAGTTGCTCAAGCTAAGAAATAAATACCCTGAATCTAAACCACTTGATTCTATTCTGTGACCTCAAAAATATACAGCAAATGTTATCAGGTATTGTATCAATCTAGCCAGCTATTTATCCTTATTTGCACAGAGGGCATCTCAGGTGAGGCAAAGGTAGGACAACAAAAGGCAAACTTCTGTTAAACTCAAATCCTGAACTGATAAAAATTAAGCATGTAAGAAAAAAAGAGCTTATCCTGAGCATATACTGCAGCCTGTGATCATCTGATACAATGAAAATCAGAAGCCAACCTTTAATTAAAACATACAAAGTTTTAGTGCTTTTTATATTAAGTTGTAGGTAATACTCACCTCTTTTCCAGTGCTAAGTAAACTGTGCAAGAATTTCTCAAGTTGTGTGTGATTCTATACAGAGTTCTGAACAAGGCATCTGTCAGATCATCATCATAGAACACTGTAAAAAACAAGATTAGGAGCATATGTATAATTAAGGATATAATTTACTGAAGTGTCCATTATGAACAGCAGGTCTTAGTTTGATTACTCAAATCAAACAAGTCACTCTTTTATCTAAGTGCAAAGTACATTTTTAATGGCAACAACTGACTCTGTAAGAGTATTCACTGCTGCTATTTATGCCAGGCTTTCTTTAAGCTTTCTCTCATCAGAATGAGAATAATTTATCAGACAACTGACAAGCTTTGACAAGAATTCTCTCAGCCTGGAAATAATTTTACTACAAAGCTAAAAAAACCATGATATTAGAGAGTAGAGAGCCTCTTTCCTTACAAAACCCCCCACCAGGCTACAATTAATTTACCATTATAACCAGATCTCCTTTGAAAGCAGGACACACCAAAGAAAAGGAAGAGCTACAGCTTGCAACATCTCATAATTGCTAATTCAGAATGTAAATAAAAGAAAAGAAAAATACAGACAGGAGCACTTAAGGCAGAGCCTTGGCAAATTAGGTAAGGATCTGACCTATTAGATTTTAAAAGCAAGTTAGGTACATTTAAATTATTACTCGTAATGCTTGAGTGTTTGATTGAAAAGCTTACTGTTTGTATTTCCCTACCATCAGCTGCCATGATCACAGAACAGTGATCAAGCAAATCAGCAATCTCTTCTTCAGACCAGCTATAAGGAGCTTCAGGATCTGGAAGAAAGAATATGGCTTTGGTGTACATGATTAAATGTCTCAAATGACTGGAGAAAAGGAACTTTTTGGCTCCTGTGGGCAGCTGCTACTCCATAAACAGAGCACACCGCTCAAGGGAAATCAAAACCTTCCCTGCTCATTTTCTAAAGTTCCCCCAGTTCTCTGCTTCCTCTGTGTTATGTCCAACCCTCCCAAGGCTGACTGGCAAGCAAAAGTTTTCTTTCACTTCAGAATTCACAGTCCTGTAGCAAGATCACAGCTTTAAATACATTAATGAAAGCACACCTTTAAACAAAACCCCAGATATACCCTTATATAAGTTTTGATTAATCTTCCTATTTTATCATGCTTTTAAAAAATTATTCTTCATTAAAAGAATCTTTCCTTGAAAGTCTAACAAACATAAAACCTTTTCAACTGGCAGTATCAAATATTGTCATTAACCAGAATTTTCTTTGAGGCCCAAGAGAGGCTTTTGAACATGCAACACCAAACACCAAGCCCAATCTAAAAGGAGCCATTGTAAGCACCTACCAGTGCAGAATTCATCTTTCAGCCAATCCATTTCTTTCACTTTAATTTCTCCTCCTGGGGGTGAAGAAAGATCACATCAGTCACAAATGGCCTTTCACACAGCACCTGGGCTAAAGCAGAGAGTCAAAGTCTGACCATACAGCACCCACCTCCTGGCTCCATCAGGTGCTTGTTTAATGCAACATTTTGCTCACACATGGCCAGGAGATCATCACCAACATCTGGAAAAGAAGTGATAATGATATTAAAAACAAGAAAATTTTGTATGGGCCATGTATGCCTCTCAGACTAATACTCAAAGTTTCTCTCAAGCCCATGAGATTAAGGAAAATTCAGAGCAACTCTGTCCACTGACAATTGCTCCCCTAGTATCCTTCTTCCTTTTGTCTTTCAGTTCTAAGCTCTGAGCAACCCTTGAAGAAAGAAGATAGATTCCTACACTACCTATTTTAATCTGGACACACTACCATTGCAACATATCTTGCTTTTAAACTCTTGAGTTTTCTCAGCCCTTTGAGAAAGTTCCTGATATTTTTCAGTAAATAACACAAATTGATATGCACTAATAAAAATGATTAACTATAACTGAACAGATGAGTCTGAAAATACCAGGATGAAAGCACTGCTTTGGCAAGTTTCATGAAAATATTTAACTGAAAAAACTGCCTTACCTGTGCAATAAACTCTCTTGGCAACTGTTGCCATGATAATGCTGGTAATTCCAGTGCCCCCTCCCAGCTCCAGCACAGAGCAGCCCCTGAAGGCGTCCCTTTGGAAGAGAATGTGATCAGCCAGAAGGAAGGCAGCACGCCACACCTGGGGACAAGGGAGGCACTTAAAACTGAACCAGCTCTGAAGCACATTCCATGAAAATCAAGATACTACAAGGCAGAACACGTACCTGTTTACCAACATCTTCCAAGGGGGTTGCCATAGTGTGCTCTGTGCAAATGAGAGAGAACAGAAAATAATTACCTCAAAATTGTTCAAATCAAGTTCCACAGTGGCAAGTTTGAAACTAAGGCTATGCTTCCCTTTCAAATATAGAACTAAACACTCTTTATTCTATACAATAATGTTGGATAATGCCAAACACCCACTCTAACTAAGAAGCACTGAGTTTCCTGTGGTATACAACTGCCCAAACCTTTTCCAGAGAAAAAAGGTAAATTTTTATTTGCAATATCACAGTATTGTGATCATTATTTTCTCTCACTTAACAAACTGCTGTTCCATATCTACAGAAAATCTATTTTTCTTTTGTTTTACTGAAATTTCATCTGCCACATTTCTCCCTGACTGAAACCTTGTTATTTACCTATTTTAACAACATCACTGCAAGTGCACTCCTCTTCTTCATCTTCAAAAGCATCTTCCTTCCCTTTCATCAGAATTACAGGGCACACTATATCCCTCAAAAGATCCTCTGCTTGCAAATCAGAGGCACCTCGAGGCCTTCTGACCACTTCCAAGTCTCCATCATCATCCAGCAGAGCTTCCACTCCTTCACTATTTAATTCTCCTTCTTCTTTCAGGTTACTCCTGTCCTTGTCACACAGCTCATCTCCACTTCTGCTCTGCTGTTCTCTTCCTGTGGTAATTTCTCTCACGTATTTCCCAGATGCCAAATCTTCTGTGCTCCAAAGGAGTTTGAAATATGACAGGAACACTGTAAGAACACAGTGTGGGAGGAAAGGTTAAACACCGGGTGAGGCAGAACCTTCTACATGCACGAGATTTTGGTATGCATTACATGTATTAAAAATCTATAGAGTGAATCATGAAATAGGTAACTTGAAATACAGTTTTATTTGCTATGAAGAAATACTTCTGTTATTAAGTTCTGTCAGCAGAAATTAACAAAGCACTTTCAGAGTCCACTGGCTGACTCAGCATTTGCACAGCCACAATGGGCATGTTCATCTGATTTAGTAATATTTATCTTAACTATTGGCAGTAATTTAGTCATATTTATTTTAACTATTAGTCTGATTTAGTAATATTTAGTACTATTTATTTTAACTCTTGGCATCTTACATCCTCCAAAAGTTCTGTTCACAGAAGTTCTAACAAAGTTGAAAGCAGAATGAATATAAGTTAGAATTAGTTTATTTTGGTTAAGATTCATATCTTGTAAGAAAGAAGAATGTTCTAGTAAAATGCAAGTTGAATTTTTGTTTGTTGCTTGCAAAGTCTTTAGGAATTCAAGCAACTCCAAGCCTTGAAATTGACTCAGTATATAAGAACAGAAATAAGTGCACAGGAGGCAAAGCTGACACTTCTGTAATATTTTTTAAGTGTTCATCTGATTATTCAAAGAGATTAAATGACTGAAGCTATTCTTAACGACCAATTAATTAAAAATCTTTTACAGCAATCACTCAGTGACATTGCTTCTATTAAAATTTTAAGTTATTAAAACATGGACCTTGCAATTTTAATTAAGGAATCTGTACTGCCTGAGTACCACACATAAGGAAGAACAGACATTCCATAGTCCTTCCATCTATGTTCATTCCCAACAAAAGGGAAGAGATAAAGTGCTTGCCACCACTGCTTTCAACAATTTCACAATTTATGGAGTTCTATTCCAGTTTCTTTAGTAGGCAAGATGTTCCAAGGTGGTCTACTGAAATCTGACAGAGGTTTCTCTCTAGTGAGACCATTTTTAGCTGGATCTAATAAAATCTTCAATGCCTGTCCTAGCATGACAAATTTTTAAAGTCTCCACTGTTTGCATGATGACCAAATGAAACTAATTGGAATAGAGGATGCCATCAGTGAATGAAATGCTTTGTTCTCCAAGTCCATTCTGATCCTCTGCATTTCCACAGCATTCAAAAGGTGGAAAGTCAAACTGACTCAAAGGGGAAGAGACTAAATCCTCACAAACTTCCCCAAAACACAGCACAGTGGCCCTGGTAGATTGTTATGGCACTAAAGGCTGTAATACTACCATGCAATTCTTGTCTCAATAACCAGAAGAATTTCCCAGAAAGAGCTCATTGAAGTAGGTAGAACACACTGTCACTTCCTTCTGCTGAAAGGTTCTTTACACCAAGCACAATCACAGCTAACACACATCAAACAGCATGAAGATCCACCACAGCATTAATTACCTGGGTTTCCACCTGAATAGGGTCAAAATTATTATTCATTTCCTTGTCAGGCCTACTTTGATAATTTTTCACATTGTCATACACCAGAACAGCTGCAGGAGTTACTCTTTTGATGTCACAGCTGGGTTTGAAAAAACAATTAACACTTCTGTCACAGCAGGACGTTTGTACAGAACATTTTGCCAGCAGCTTCAAGGTCAGTTCCCTTGACAACTTTATGGCAACCTACAAGCTGGCAATCAGCCAGGGGCATTTGCCAACTCATTTCCTCTATAGCCTGACTCTTCAAATTCTATGTCAGTTAAAGCCATTGCTGTGTTGAGTTTTCTTGCTGACATTTTTTTTGAAGCAAACACCCCCCCCCCCGCAAAAAAAAATCAACCCTACCAACACAAAAAAATCAAACCAAAAAACAAACAAACAAACAAACAAAACACCCAAAACACCCCAAAAAAACCAAAACAACAAGAAAAAACAACAACAAAAAAACAACAAAACAAAACAAAACAAAACCAACAAAAAACCACATAGAAAGCTGTTATGCTCCCCTGGAATACATGGTAAATCATCACATAAACATTTAGTTAAACTAAATGTTAAATTAATTACTGATGGTTTGTATTTTAAACTTAAGTTACACTATTTAAAACTCCTGGGTTCTCATCTTTTGTTTGTGTTTAAGAAACATCACAACCTTATTTTAAATCATGACTCCCAAAGTGCTATATTGACAATATTGCTCAATGAACCATTAAATTAAACCTACAAGTGAGTAAATTGGGTTACTTTTTCTCAAAAAGCAATTTAAAGTTTAATTTTTAAGACAAGCTGTCTACAAGTTTTCACTTCTGGAGTTAATTTCACAAGGATAACACAGCTAGCCCTCTTTCTAAAGACTGAGTAGGAGGTGATTCTGCTTATAGCTGGAATAAAATATGTAACTATTAATATCAACCACTTGGAGGAGGATTGAGCCTTCCAAAGATCTGAGTAGAGTTAAAACACAGCATCCATTACCTGGCTGTCCAACTGCATTCAGTCGTACCATGAGGTGCCTTTTGCTTGGGCCGTGCAAGTGGACATCAGACAGCACAGTGTCACTCCTGAACGTGGGGTTATCCATCTCCTCCTCTGCTAAATCTGCCATGGGGTGCTGGTGAGAGCAGCATCTGCAGTGCTCAGACAGCCCTCATGCAGTGCTGCCACAAAGGGATTCCATTCTCTTCCATTTACAGGGGTCCAGCAACAGTTCTGCTCACCAAGGGAAACTCAGGACATCGTTTCGGTGAAGGTGGGATTGTGCAAACTCCACCACACTCCGAGACAACAAGTTCCTCATCAGGATATTCAACCTAAAACCAAACACAGGCAGCTTTTAGTGGTAGCCTGACACTGCCTGAACATTGCTCCAGCAGTATTTCAGAAGATAAAGATCAGATGACACTGTTCAATAAAGTAGCAATGCTCCAAGGCTCTCTTTTACAGAATCCTCAAATATACGACTGTGAGTAATTCAGTGGCAGCCACTGTGTATTTTAGGAAGAGCTGCTAATTTGCTTGTGTTACAAACAACCTCCCCTGAAAAAACCCGAATGTTACCATGACTGCAGAGAATTTCAATGCCTAATCAAGGTTTTCAAAGGGAATAAGGCCCCTTCCTGCGTTGGCATTACCATCTTGAAGGATTATACTAAATTTGCTATTATCCAGTTGTGCTTGAACAAGATCACTGAATGGCTCAGGCTGGAAGGGACCACAGTGGCTCATCTGTTCCCACCTCCCTGCTCAGGCAAGTCAATCTGGAGCACGGGATTGTCTCCAGATGGTTCTGGAGTGTCTCCAGTGAGGGACACTCCACACTCTCTGTGGGCAATCTGTCCCAGGGCTCGGTCCCTGCACAGGGAAGTTCTTTCTCACGTTCAGGTGGAGCTCCCTGGGCATCAGTTCCTGCCCCATTGCTGGGCCCAGGGAGCAGAGCCTGGTCCGTGCTCTGAGCCCTCCCTTCGATGTTTACACACATTAATAAGGCCCTCCTCAGTCACGTCTTCTCAACTTCAGCCTTTCCTCCTAAGAGAAGTGCTCCAGACCCGTGATAACTTAGTCCATCCCTGCCGGACCACCATACCTATCCACACTCACAACACTCCCGCCTTCAGAAGCAGTTTCTGTATCTGTGGCTGGGCACTTGTGTTAACTCTGCCAGCTCCAAGCCTGCCGTGTCCCGGCGGGAGCCAGCGCAGCGCTGCGGGCAGTGCCCGGCACCGGGAGATGCGCGGGGGCTCCGCTCCTGCTGCGGCACCGCCGGAGCCTCCGGGGGCTCAGCGCGGCCGGGCGGGGCTCCGAGAGCACGGGCAGCGCGGGCGGGACCCGCCTGGCCCGGGTCCTCACGGTGACACCCGCCTGGCCCCATGGTGGGACCCGCCTGGCCCAGGACCCCCTGGTGGGACCCGCCTGTCCCACGGTGTCACCCGCCTGTCCCCATGCTGAGATCCGCCTGTCCCCATGGTGAGATCCGCCTGGCTCCATGGTGGGACCCGCCTGGCCCGGGTCCTCACGGTGTGACCTGCCTGGCCCCATGGTGGGACCCGCCTGGCCCCATGGTGAGATCCGCCTGGCCCCATGGTGGGACCCGCCTGTCCCGGGTCCTCACGGTGTTTGTTACCTCCCTGTCTCGGGTCCCCACGGTGGCACCCGCCTGTCCTGGGTCCTCATGGTGTGACCTGCCTGACCCCATGGTGAGACCCACCTGTCCTCACAGTGTGACCCGCCTGTCCCCATGGCAGGACCCACCTGTCCCGCGTCCCCACGGTGAGACCCGCCTGTCCCGCTTCTCCCCGGCAGGTCCCGCGTACCCCCGGCGGCTGTCCCGCTTTCGCCTTCTCAGACCCCGCTTTCCCTCCTCTCCCGCTTCTCACCGCTGAGATCCCACCTCTCTCCCTTCTCCCCGCTCAGATACCACCTCTCCCGCTTTCCCCTCTCAGATCCCCCTTTCCCCTGCTCAGTCCCCACCTCTCCGCGTTCCCCCGCTCAGATCCCGCTTCTCCCCGCTCAGCTCCCACCTCTCCCCTTTTCCCCCGCTCAGCTCCCACCTCTCCGCGCTCCGCTCAGCTCCCCACTCCCGCTCAGCTCCGCTTTTCCCCGCTCGGCTCCCGCCTCTCCGCCGCCCCGCCCCGTGCCGCTGTGGCTCCTTCCGGCTCCTTCCGCTGACGCCGCTGCCCGGCGGCCCCCGCGGGTGCTGCGGGCCGAGCGGTGCCCGCTGTGCCCGGGGCTCCGTGGTGCTGGAGAATCACCCGGCACTAAACCCCGCTCGAAGCCTGCCAAAGGCAGCCGTGCAGGTCAGGCTTGCGCTGAAGCGTCCGCAGGACTGGCTCGGAGATTCAACACGCGTTTCCTACTCGCGTTCTTTTATTAATTGCTTCTAGCATCACTTGCCCTGTCTCGGTTCGTCTGTAATGCCATCACTTGCTCTCTCTCGGTTCGTCTGTAATGCCATGCAAAATCTACAAACGGCTTGAAAACAAAGTGGGAAAACTTCTGCGGAGGCAAATAGGCGTTTCTGCCTTAGTCCGGATAATGTCAATTCCAGTACCACTGTAAAATTAGCTGGAGCAACAGCTGTTCACTTATTTAGGGAATTGGGGGTTTAGTTGCTTAGTTCTGAAGAGGTTTTAATTACGTATAAACCGGGTGAAATAAACAAGACTGAATTAGTCACGGAGTGAAAACATCATAACCAGAGTCTTTGGGAGGCTTTAACAACAGAAATTTGCCTAGGAGACCAGCAGCTTTTAGTATCTACATTTTGGACCATGGTGTCTTAGGCAGTCATTTCCCAGCTGAGCTCATCTGCGGTGAGAGCTGGCAGCTGGTCTGGCCCTGGGGCTGTGTGGTCAGTCCAGAGCGTGCAGTGGGCACAGGATACCTCAGCAGCTGGACATGCTGACCTGCCCTCTGTGCAAAATCACAGACCGAGGTGTGCTCCAAACTCCCATCTGTGTTCTAGTTCACCTCCTCTGCCAGTCTGAGGGGGCTGCTGAAGTTGTTTTATCTTTCAGCAGGAGGATCTTGTTCAAAAGTGGGCATTTACATATTAATTTCTAGTCATGTGATGCTAATGTCAATTGCTAAAGATGATCCTTGTATTTTTCTTGAGTAGCAGGAAGTATTAGTCAATGATTAAAAAAAACATCAGAATGTAATTTATATTCTGCATCTATTTCTAGATGTCTCCTTCTCATCATCTGCCTTCCTCAACAAAGGCTAAGCATTAATGAAATATTTATTAGAAGAATGAAATAATCTTTCCCTATTTTTACAGTCAAGAGTTTTGAGTGGCAATAAAATGAAAACACAGAAACCATTCACATATCTCATTGCAGTTTCTGTGGGGAATTTTATTGGATGAATATCTGACAAAAATGCTTTGGAGATTTGTCCTCCTTTTATCTGTCTCCTGTGAAAGAGCAGAACATTATTTTACTTCCCGTGGTGATGCACTGCCACATAAATTATTACTGCAGTGTCTCTCTCTGCTGGCATGTTCTCACTGCTCTGGAGTACTAAGCAGGCAAAGCAGATTTTATTTGTCACAAAATCTCACCAGTCTGCAGCAAGAGGCACTTACTGGTACACAGGCTTAGTATAATTAGAGGAGCAGCTAAAAAGCTGCATTACATGGGGACTTTCAAACACAAAAGTACATTATGTGAGAAATGGAGCTGCTGCAATTGCTTTTCTAAGAAATTCTGATACCTCGTTTCACATATGCACAATATTTGGGCAGAGCAGGAATATCTCGTGGCTGCAGAAGATCTGTGGCTACCGATGTTATAATGAGGGTGATAATGAAAATTGTTTAGGCAGCTGCAGTTTCTGTACCACACACAAGAGGGCTTCGGCAGCCCGTTCCCCAGATGCACCTCTTTTTTAAGGATGCCCCTAAGTTGCATTTCCTGTCTTCCTCACAGCCATGTGACTTAGGAATTTGTTTAAATTTACCTCACGTGCCAAACAACTTTACCAAGTTTTAATTGCTTGTTTGAAATGATGAATTGGGCCAGTTTCACCCATTGATCAAGTACCAAAGAGCTGGCTGTGTTGGTTGCTTCAGATATGTCCCTTCTGCAATCCCCTTTGAATTCAGTGTCATGTGCTGACACTCCATGGGGTTTTTTGGCAGATCAGGTAATAATGAGTAAGAGTCAGGACATTGAGTCTTGTAGTCTCTCATCAGAGATGAACTGTGACTAGTCAGTCTTTTTTAAATTCATTGCAGGTTGTGACTCTTCAAAACTGGATGTGTACAAGTGCATGATGAAAATATTAAATCTGAGAAGGAATAGCCAAACCTCAGATCAACCAGCAATAGTTACTAATTTCCAAGGGCAGTGAATCTGAAAATTGTAATAATGTGTATTGTCTAACAGCTTTTATTTTTTGAGCCACAGGGGAAGTAGTTGTGGTAAGTTTAAAAGAGCAATAAACTCCAGAATCCCATTAGCTTTACTGGAAGGCTGAATGGTAAAACTGCATTTGAATTTAATTCTTCCTTCAACAACAACAGCAAAAACCGGAGAAAAAACGTGATATTTCCTGGAAAAGGATTGTGTATGAAATTAGGTGTGTTGATTGTGCTTGTTGCCATGGCAGCAATTAATTATAGTTTTTGGCACAGTTGCACTGGCTGGCTTTCCTACAGTCAGGTGGGTAAACACTGTGGGAATCCCTCCTTTCTTCAGTTTACAAATAATCTACTTCTAGTAATGCAGCACCTCTTCCCAAATACAGACAGGGCAGAGGCCATGAAATAAAGAAACACTGGGGAAAGTTGAGGAATTCAGTGGGATTCTGCTGCACCTGAACAGCACAGGTTCAGAGCAGCTGAGAAGGAACTGCCCTAGAGATGAATTTTACCCAGGAAAAGTCCTGGGAAGCAAAGCTGGTGGTTCCCAGAGCACAATGCCCTCTGAATCCTCCAGCACCCAGGCAACCCTGCAAGCAGAGCAGAGAGGGTAAAAGTTACTTACACAAACTTTGCCATTCTCAGGCTGGAAGTGACTGATAATTTTGCTGCATCACACTCTGTGGACTAATGATTGACTGCAACTTTGAGAGCATATTCTGAATTATCTTTGTTATTCTGAGCAGCAGATTGACTTTGGCAGATGCAGCCAACACCTTGTCTATGCAAAGCAAAGTGTTCCTTCTCCATAGAGCTAAGCCTAGATTAAAAATGTAAATCTTTAATGCTGAAGATCCTAATTTAACATTCAAAGACCTCAGGAAATTGAAGCTGAGTTTCTAGAGAAACTAATTTGCACTACTGGCTTTTTCCTTTCATTATAAACATCTCCCAATGAATACATGAAATTGTTTTGTTAACTGTGGTTTTGGTTTTCTGACTTTACAGGAATTATTTGTTCCCTAGCATGGGAATGAATGTCTAAAAAAATTATGGTGATGTGGAAATGAAACCTTTATGTAGATTTGATTTGCTCTTGATATGTTTGCCATCAGTCTGGTCAAAAAAGGACCTGGGCTTAGTAGGTTCTTACTTAGGTTTGCTGTAAAGTTAGTCTAGGCAGAGTCTACAAGGACCTCATACATCTTGATGGCTAAAATATATTATTTAATAATGTTTCTAAAAATGAGCACATGTACAAACTTTGTGGGCCCCAAGATTAGAACAAAACCTCTCCAAGACACAGAGCATCACTGATAAGCATCTCATGCCTGATTAACAGCTTGTACCCAACTGGGTTAAATGTTCCTGCAGTTCTACACCCTTTGCTTTCCCTTGGATTTAACTGGGAGATGACAGTGGCAGATCATTGCAGGGGAGTGGTGATTCAGGTGTATGAGTGCCTCTGGTTCAGATTTGTGAGAAGACAACTGATAAAACCTCTAAGACATGGTGTTTGTGGGGCTAATTTAAACTTTCAAGCCACTCTGCAAATATAGCTGGGAAAAAAAGAGACAAGCTTGGGATCCCAGTTAAGAGTGGTGCCCCAAGGCCTGCTCATTTTGTCTCACTGCATTAGTTAGTATAACAAAACATTTCACTTTGCTTCATTAGCTTTATATCACCCAAACATTGCAATTACAAGGAGGTAGCAGCTGCCTGGCTTGTGGAACTACAGAGGCATTTTCACAGATTACAGATACAACTTGGAGATGTGAGAAATAGATGGCAAGAGCTCTGAATGATGCTGTGGCTGCTTAACAGTGTATTCCTAAATATAGAGACTATTATATTCCCAGCCATACACACCTTTCAGTAGTTTTGCAGAGCAAAATGTGGTCTGTAGTGTTGATGATTACTGTGTTTATTTAAACACTCTCTCTCAAGGAAAATGTTCCTTTTAACTGATCCTACTGCTGAAGCCCTACTGGCTCACTTCAGCTTGTTGCCATGGATGGGTAATGATGTCACACATTCTGCCCAGTGTCCATGCCAGAAAACAAATGAGAATGACTTTTTTAATTACTCAGAGTTACTTAGCAATTCCCTGGAAGGCCTGAAGTGAATTACAAGGAAAAAAACAAGATGCCCCGTTGACCCTACCTGCGCAGTATCTTTATGCCAGTGAAGAGAAACAGTAAAACACCAGAGTAAATCCTCTGTGGGTTTGAAAACACGGCTCTATTACTGAAATACACTTTGTTACTCAACAGATTTCAGCGGGCTGAGGATGAGCAGGAGGCTGGGTGAAGTGTGGCTTTAGGGCTCACGCATGAACACTTCAGTAGCTATAGTTTCTGCAGAGGGAGCTTGTGTCCTTCCCTCCATCGGTGACATTCTAACAGGGAAATGATCCCGAGCAGGGTACAGACATCACTGCACCAGCCAGTAAATGCCACTCTACTGCCTTCTCTCAGACCCCGTTTCAAATTAGGTTAGAACTGGCCTTTTGAGGTCGGCAGCTGGAAGGCACAGAACAAGAGGGAATCTCTTGTAAAATATACCAGGAAGGTTGCCAGAAACCAGGAACACAAACTGTGCTTCTGCTCCCCAAACCCCGACTCTGCTTCCTCCTCCCCTCGGAGACACGGAGGGGAATTTGGAATGCAGGAGCTTTCTCCCCTCCGAGGTGAGCCCATCCCGAGGCTGCCGGAGCTCATGGGGATGGGGATGCCCATGCCCGTGGTTTTGACGCTCAGTCCCTCTCCGTGAGCAGCGCTGGCTGCCCGATCGCTCGCTCCGCACAAACCTGCGGGGCTCGCCCGGGGCCGGGGCTGGCGGCCAGGGGGCGGCGGGGTCTGTGTGGGCCGGGCCGGCCCGGTCAGCTGCGGGTGCGCGGTCCATCCTCGGGGTGCTCGTTCTACCCCCAGAGTGCCCGTTCCGCCCGTGGGGTGCCCGTTCCTCCCGAGGGGTGCCCGTTCCGCTCTTGGGGTGCCCGTTCCTCCCGCGGGGTGCCCGTTCCGCCCGTGGGGTGCCCGTTCCTCCCTCGGGGTGCCCGTTCCGCCCGTGGGGTGCCCGGTCCGCTGCAAGGTGCCCGTTCCTCCCTCGGGGTGCCCGTTCCGCCCGCGGGGTGCCCGTTCCTCCCTCGGGGTGCCCGTTCCGCCCGCGGAGTGCCCGGTCCGCTGTCGGGGTGCCCGTTCCTCCCTCGGGGTGCCCGTTCCTCCCGCGAGTGCCCGTTCCGCCCGCGGGGTGTCCGCTCCCGGCACATATAACCATTATAATCCTACTATAATACCCCGCGGGGCGCGGAGCAGCCGGGGCGGGGCTCGGGGCGCGCTACCTGCGCGGCCGCGGGGCCGGGCGGGGCGCGGCGGCGGCGGCGGCACCATGAGGGTTAACTTGGGCGCGCTCTCCCTCTTCGTGGCCCTGGTGGGACTTTCGAGCTTCATCTTCCTCGTGGTGGCCATCGCCACCGACTTCTGGTACATCATCGATGCCTCCAAGCTGGAGGCGTCCCAGAACGGCACGGACGCGCTCAGCTCGCACTCGGGGCTCTGGCGGACCTGCCGCGGTGAGTGCGCGGGCAGCGGGACCGGGGCAGCGCAGCGCTCCGCATGCGGGATCGGCGTGCGGGATGCGGGGTCCGTCCGGCTGCGGGATCGGCGTGCGGGATGCGGGGTCCGTCCGGCTGCGGGATCGGCGTGCGGGGATGCGGGATCCGTCCTGTTGCGGATTCTGTGTGCGGGAGTGGGGGGTCTGTCCCCCTTTGGGCTCGGCGTGCACCCCGGTCCGTGCGGTTGCGGAGTCCGGCTGCGGGGATGCGGGATCAGTCCGGCTGAGGATCAGGCTGTGGGGAGGCAGCTGCAGGGGTCTCGGTTCGGGGTCCATCTGCGGGGGTCTGGCTGTGGGGATGCGGGGATGGGGATGCGGGATGGGGATGCGGGATGGGGAAGCAGGATGGGGATGCAGGATGGGGAAGCAGGATGGGGATGCAGGATGCGGGATGGGGAAGCAGGATGGGGATGCAGGATGCGGGATGGGGATGCAGGATGGGGATGCGGGATGGGGATGCGGGATGGGGAAGCAGGATGGGGAAGCAGGATGCGGGATGGGGATGCGGGATGCAGGATGGGGATGCGGGATGGGGATGCAGGATGTGGGATACGGGATGCAGGATGGGGATGCGGGATGGGGATGCGGGATGGGGATGCGGGATGGGGATGCAGGATGCGGGATGGGGATGCGGGATGCGGGATGGGGATGCAGGATGGGGATGCAGGATGGGGATGCAGGATGGGGATGTGGCGTCCGTCCGGCTGCAGGGTCCGGCCCGGGGCAGTGCCCGCTGCCGGCGGAGCTCCGGCTCTACCTGGTTCGAGGACGGGCGCTCCCAGGCCGTGCCCCGCACCCGCGGGCAGTGCCTCGTCAGTACCTCCCGTGTCACTTGCCCAAGGAGACATGGGGAGAGCGAATTTTCTGCTACTGTAACCTGATTTTACATTAACTTTTAATTCAAGCTAATCTAATAAACGTTAACCATTTAGAAGGAAGGAGATGTCTTTTCATTTGGCTCAGGAAATTAAGGGGCGAAAGTTCTGGGTTAAAGCCATTAAAATTATAAATAATAACACAACAATAAAAATATAAAGACAATCTAGTTTATTTACATAAACAATACAATTAATATAAATATAAGTATTATTACATATCATCCTGTAGAATTATTATAATCTTATAGATCAATAGATAGGATTTTCTCCATGTAGTTATTTTATTTGCTAGGCATTTAACTTTTGGTTTTGATTCCACTCTTAGAAGCCAGGAGCAAGTAATGTTTGCCATAGGCAAGAAAGGATGTTGCCAGAGGAGCAGGGAGAAGGAGCAGGTTGCAGGAATTCTCTCTCTGCTGTGCACTGAGCCCTGCTGCAATGAGCAGAGGTTTCCCTGTTGACTCCAGTGGTCAGGCCCCATGGGAGCAGCTGATGCTGCATGCTAAAACTCCTCTCATTTCCTTCCCCACCTAGGAGTGGCTGGGTTAGGAGCAGTAGTATTATAATGATTACATGTACATGCAAAAAACCAAATATATATATAGCAAACTGATGTATTAGTGTAATTTCCCCCGTTTTTCTACTAGTGAGGAGTGAATGTTACCCTTTGATAAACCCCTTCTGGCACGAGAATGCGAACATCACCGAGTCACACAGACAGCTTTTGTGTGAGTAGCTTTTATATTATTTTATATTTCCATCCAACCTTCCCTCCCTCCCTGACCACTTACAAGGACTCATTTGTGATTCAGAGGGGGAATTCACTGAGAAAGTGTTTTGACTCTGCTTCTGTACAATATCTGTCACTGTCTGTGGTCTTTAAGTGTGTTTACTGCTGAAATAACCTTCTATTTGGTGACAAGTTCAGCTAATTTCTTCCACAGGAGCTAAACCTCTGCCTGGAATGGCACAGGAAGGTACACAATTGCTAAAAATAAAAGGCAAAAAGTGTTCACAATCACCTCAAAGGAGTCTGATCACTGAAAATGCTTAAGAACACATTTAAATTAATCTTTAACACAGCTACTTTTCTAGCATTTCAGTGGGGTTCCTGGCACCAATGAAAGACTTAAGTATGGGAGAATTTAAGAAAATAAATCAATGACCAAAAGCAGTGTTCAAAGTCTTTGAAGAACATCGTGTTCAAAAACATTAGGCTTCTAATATATTTTCCTCTTTTTCTTTAGATTCATTTGTCAATGCCAGAATGTTTTCGAAAAGTCCAAACTGAGCATTTTCAAACACTTACAGGCATCTCCTAGAAGATGATTTACCATCTTTGCATCATGTATTTGGCACAATCCTTTCCTCACACACCCTTGTGTATGGGCTTGCTATTTACAATTATTTTATTTACTCACTCCCTGACTCTGCAGAATACATCCATTTGTATTTTGTTTCTTAAAATGGCACTCTTTCCCTCAAAACCAGCCATTCCCTGGGCTCCAGAGGGGCTTAAAGAGTTTTTAAATTTTAAGTTTCTTGGAGCAGCAGCTGCAGGTGCAGCACACAGAGGAGATGCTGGGGCTGTGTCACAGCTGGCCTGGAAGGTCAGAACCCAGTGAGCTCCTGAAGCAGCCAAACAAACACAGCAGCAGGGCCAGAACTTACAGCCCAGCATTCAAACACAGCAGCAGGGTCAGAACTTACAGCCCAGCATTCAAACACAGCAGCAGGGTCAGAACTTGCAGCCCAGCATGTCTCTCTGTGCTCTCAAATAGGAAGGGCCAATTTTTTAATCTTCCTTGCCCAAAGCAGAGGGCTGTAGCTGCTCAATGGCTCTGAAATCAGGGCAGTGATTGCTGGATCACTCGAGCCTGTGAGGGGTCAGCATTAACTGAGCCTCCCTGATCATGTTTTAAGTGTCAGCACCTCCACTGTTATGTTGGTCCAACATTTCAGGATGAAACCATTTGCTTTTCAAAAGCTGTGTGCGTATTTGCAAAAGGTTATTTTTCTCAGGTGAGAGATTGCAGCTCTTCAGTTAAATAGCAAAACAAACCCAAAAAGCAGTGCTCTTTTGGTTATAAAAATGATGTTGGCTTGGAAACAAAAGATGGCTCTTGGTGAGTCATGAAGTGTAAGAAAATAGTGGATATGAATAAAAATTGTATTAATGATGATGTTTACAGACTCTTTGGGGCCTTGGAGAATTTTTTTTCTCTCGCTTTCACATCAAGTACTATTTTTATGCTCCTGGAAAAACACTTCTGGACTGCAAAGACACTTGCATATTTTATTATAAACAGGCATAGTCTGCCTAAAAGTGATGAGAGAAGAAATCAAAGATACTTCAATTGAAAGAACCTGCTAGGTTTGATTGGAATGCCCTACTGAGTTAACTTTTTGATTTTTTTTGCTCATCTTCAATGCAGTTTCAGTGTGGTGAGGCTACAGACCCTCAGCAGTAGCAGCTGAATGTAGAAAGGACCACATCAGTGTTTCTTTTTTATAGGAAATACAGATATTTCTAAGTGACATTTAGATTCATCAGGGCCTGAGATAGTACCTTCTGCATCAGCTTTACTCTTCTCTCTTAAATGTTTCTGACTGTTGCCACTGAATCATATTCAGGCAGATCATGGCAAACCATCTTCATCTACAACACATTTTGACAAGAATTTTGGAGGGAAATCCTGTGATCATGGATTACAGTGTAGTTACAGCAGTTTCTTCATCAGCTCCAATATGTGGCAAACAAGCTAATTGCACAGCTTTAATTGGTTACTTCACAAAAAATACATTTTTCTCTCTGTGTGCCTGTGAAGGTGTCTGTGAGGCACAGTCACACGGGAATAATCTCATTCCATCTAGCTGTACACTCATATTTCTCACTGTTTGATTGGCACTGCATCTCATGAGCTCTGGCAACATCAAACCTGTTTCTTTCTGATTATTCCTAAACAGACTTTAAAGGACTGTCTCCTAAAGTAGGCACTTAAATCACACATTGGTCACATCCCTCACTCTCCAGAGTCGGAATGCTCTTCCTGGCATGAATGAACAAGACACAAGTGCAAAGAGGTTGGGGAAAGTCTGTGTGTGAGTGCAAAGAGCTGGGCCTAAGTGGGAACAGAAGTGCTGGCCACAGCCAGAAGACAAATCCTTCATTAGAGAATGAAAAGCCTCCATGGTCCCTTCCTCCACATTTCCAATATCTCCCCTATTCATCCCAGCAGATTCCTTTTAGGCTCATTGTGTACTTCAAATGAGCTCCTGGCAAATTAAAATAATTGGGTGCATGAGTTAAACCCCTGTGCTAGCAGCAATATTTCCCAGGCAATCAACCCAGGGCTGGCTGAACCTGTGGTGTATTTCCACATCACAGGAGTGCCCTTGAGCTGCTCCTCTGATGGATTGGACACAAACACTCTCTCCTTTTCATTGGCCTTCCCTTTCTTCTCTTACCAGCCCCCAGCTGAACATGCAGTGTATACCCTCCCTCCCCTCAAACACACAATGGATAAATATTTCCCTATTACAGATTACACCATGGCCTGATTATTTGTTTAAAACATCAGCCACTGCCTAAAGAAAAATACCACTTGACTGCCTACTACTAACTTTTCTGAAAGTTCTGCATTAATAAAATCCTTTTTCACTGGGGATGTGCACTTTCCTCTGGCCCAAACAGGAATAAGATGAAACTATCACTTTCTGTAATTTAGGCAGTTATCAGAGTGCCTTGGTCACTAGTAGGATTAAAGATAGCCCTCTGAAAATTCCCCTTAGAATTTAAATTTGTCAGCAAAGACACCTCTGTTATTTTGCCTTGCCATGTGTTCTCCTGTGCCAGCCATGGCAGACAAAGCAGCAAGAGCAACATTTTTCATGGAGGGTTGAATCCATCTCTCTCTAAATGACAAAATAAGGATGTCACTGATTCAAAGGCAGCTGCATCGAGCTGCATTTTCCAGTAGCAGAAATGTAACATCCAAAATCAGATCTAGATGCTGAGGATCACACACAGAGTAGAAGGAATGGCACTGCTTCACCAGCTGAAACCTCTTCGCCAAGAGTTTGAGCTTTCAAAAATAATTTCTTAAAAGAAAAGAAAAACCCAAACAAGAAACCTCAAGTTGTTACATTGGTGAAAAGTTGCTCTTAGACATTTTTGTCATATAAATATTTTCCATTTACCAAAGTATTTTTTTAAATAATAAATAAATGCCTGTACAGATTTAGCTGAGGGCAGCACCAGTGTAATCCTTGCAAAATGAAAAATATTGTAAATATTTCTATTCAGAACCAGAAAATTTATCTTGAATCTCAGCTTTGCACTGGAGCTGCTGCAGGGTCCCACCAGCACTGCAGAGCTGGGACTGCAGTTATAAAAAATAATGTGAGGGAACAGCTGTTCTTTCTTACTGTCTGTGTGACACACAAGCCATCTGCATTAGGCACCTACAAGGTAAGATTAAGCCTCTGGCAATCCTGATTTTTTATCAGAGATTTGAACAACATGGCCAGTGATTGATTTCCTTTTACAGGTCCATTTTTAGTGCTTTCCTTTATTCCTGACCCATCCAGAAATGAGTATTTAATGAATGTGGTTTCCACTCATATTGTTTTTCTGTTCTAAAACCAAGGCAGGAGCGTGCAGCTGCCCATGCACAACTGCCTAAAGTGTTCTCCCCAGAGTATTTTTTATTTTTTCTGTTTTGGACATGAATGTAACTGGAAGCATGAGGCTGCACTCAGGTTCGTGCTTCCTGCAGGGAAATGATCTTTGCAGCAGGGGCACCTCTGATGCCTCAGTTGTTTTAATGGAACAGCTGCCTTGGTTTCTTCCTCAACAAAATGGGTTTAATAGTAGAGATAAACTTGTCTGGATTTCCTCACAGCATGTGGACGCTGTAACAGTCATGCACCAGCTGCTTTCACACTTCACCCTGCTCCAGATTTACTGAGTTGCAGTTTATAATGTTGGAAAGAATGCTCTTTTCTTTGGACACTGTGGCTTTTTTTTTTCCTGACGGATTTACAGTTCTTTGCAAATTTTTTTTTTTTTTTGTTTTAAGCTACCAGAAGGAAACAGCTGGGGCTGGAGCAAGAGCCATTTCAGAGGCCAAGTGAAATGAGACCCAGATGATGCACACAGAAATTCTGGTTTAATTGGTATGGTAGGTGTGTACCTGTTTCTGAGCAACAGTGCACTGTTCCTTCAGAGAGGGGCCAGAGGACATCTGCTTCAGTACTTACTGCAGCTATTACAGTAAATATATACAGAAATCTGAGATAACTGCAGCTGAGGCCTAGCAGGTGACAAGTTCTGATGAATATTCTCATTTTCAGATTCACCGGTACGCCAGCAGCAGAATGTGAGCCATGGTGCATTGCTCATATCCATCATTCCACCCATTCCTGCTCCTGCAGGTTTTGTCAGTGCCACCTGCTCCAGCTCTAGCAGCATTTCATTTCTGCTGCCTGCAATTGGTCTTCCCGTTCAGCTCAGAGATTTTTTGAGAAAAGCAGGAAGCCAAAACATGTAACACACTGGCTAATCATCCTGGAGACCCCTAACTCTGTGAGCAATCCTCCTCCATCACCTTTTCTCTGTTGAACAGGAGGGAATCCTTCCTGCCCCTGTGGCCCAAGCCAAGAAGACTCACATTTAGCCACAGACAAGTTCTTTCAGTTGTTCATTGGTTTCCTAAGTTGTTTCCTTGCTTTTTTCCTAGCAAGCAGGTCAGACTTTCTGTGTTCACTTTTCATTCCTGGCTTTGCCAAGCCCTTCTGGAGCAGCCCCATTGTTTTTAGCAATTTCCATGAGTCTGTTTCAGCTGGAGGCTTTTGTCTTCCTAACTGGCTCTTTAGTTACTGCTGGGTAACACAAACAGGCCCTTAATTAAGCTCTTCTGAGCCACTGCCATTTGGAGTATTTCTGATGAGGTGATATTGTAGATTTCTAGGCACTATTTGCTATTATAAGCTGTGCAAACAAATCCAAAGTTAGTTTGAAGCAATTAAGCTGCAGGATGTTAACAGGAGATGATTAACAGAACTGCTGGGCTTGCACTTGGTCACTTCTGACCCTCTCAGTGTTTCTATTTCATTCCACAGATTTCCCTCACAAACAACTCCTCAACAACTGTGTTGGGTGGTAATTTAGAGATGCCTGCCAAATTCTCAGTTCTGGACACACACTGCAGATGTCATTCTTGCAGATATTTGGCCAGAGGTCTAGTAAAAGAGCCTTGGCTGGCTAATGTAAAACTTCAGTAACCATGATTAAGCAATTTGATTCTTTTTTGCTTCAAAAAAAGGGAGCATTTCTTAAAAGTTTATGAGTTTGTTTCGGTATTTCCAAGATTAAACCATTGGATCTTTCATGTTAGTCCCCTGGGCTAACAGGGGACTCAGGTGTTGAGAAACAGATGTGGGAAACTGAATTCTGTTTTACAAGAAAGTGCACATGCCTCTTCTTGTGCAAAATGCTTAGGGTGGGTTTTTTTCCCCAGTACTAGAGCAATTTCATCAATATGAAGACAGTTATATGTTTAATACATAATGCATCAAAGTGTATTTCAACAGAAACTAAAAAAGCACTAAAATGACTGCAAAATGAATGTTTTAACTTCTTTCACAGATGATTATTGAAGACAGAAACACAGTAAAGATATTTTAAGTCATTTTCTTCTATAAACTAATTCTGTTCCTCTAATCAAGGGATATAATGGCATAATATCATATGCCAGATGGCATGAATTCAGATTCCTGAGGGGTTTCCATGGCAGCATTTTAGAATAAGTTTCCCAGGCAGTTTCAGATTTCATAGTACAAATGAGTAGTAGATATTGAACTAGAACACTGGAGATTATAAAAGTACTATTTAAGCAAATAGAGTTCACTAAATATTTGATTTCTAAAAAGCTGCCAGTGATTAATGAGGAGTGTGATCCCAGCTGTGGGTAGGAAAAGTAAGGTTCTGTCACTCTGTCACAGTGAGGTTTGTGGGTTTCAGCTGAGCTATCCCTAAACCCTATATTTTCACTGGAGAGGGCACAAAAATCAGAGTTATTCTGATATTTCAACTGCCACAGATGATCAATGTAATCTAGGAAGCTCCCAAGGAAAAAGGTTTTTCTTTTCCTTTCCTTCACAAAGTTCCATTCAGAGTGTGTTTTCCTCACCCACATGTGTCCTGGCTCAGCTTGCAGCAGCTGGAATCACACCATGACAAGAAAAGTCAAAGAAATGGCAAATTAGTGCTGCTGTCCTGAGGTGGAGTTTGTCAGCAGGGGCTTGGGCTGGTGAGGGACATCACAAGGCAGAGAGCCAGCCATGAGCTTTTGGTTATTTTTGTTCTCTCTCAGTAAGGCCAGCTCTGAGGACAGACTTGCCCCACTCTTACATCCATACTTTCCAAATGTTAATTGCATCCTCCAAATGCTTTTTCACCTTTTACTGCAAAAGCTAAGGTGACACATGTCAGAATGGTGGGGAATAATAAAAAATGAGACCAAATAACCCTCAGCAAGCTCAGATGTGGCTGAAAAGCACACTCCTGTTGCTGCTGCCTCTCTGGAATGGGAGAACTGATTTGGATGCCCAATCTGTGTTCTGTCACACTGGGTCTCATCATATCCCCAACCACCTCTAGCCACAAGAAACTCCTGAGCTAAGTTCCATGGCTATTTCTCTATTTTTTAAGTTCCATGGCTATTTCGCTATTCTCCAAGTTCCATGGCTATTTTGCTATTCTCTAAGTTCCATGGCTATTTCTCTAAGTTCCATGGCTATTTCTCTATTTTTTACGTTCCATGGCTATTTTGCTATTCTCTAAGTTCCATGGCTATTTCTCATCTTGGAGTCCAGCTAAGGTTTGCAGGCAGTTTTGACATGCTGCTTTGTTCCCAGTGAGCTGAAGATTGATCTGGCTGTTAGCACTGAGAATTGTTTCAGATGTTGGTTGGCCAGGAACAGCAGCCATGGCCAGTTTTGCCGAAGGAAGGCCCAGGGATTGTCCTCAGCTTTAGAATCGGAGGGAAAATGCTCTCTTCAGTGCAGAATGTTGAATTTATGATTTCTGAGCATCAGCTGGTCCTGATGTCAGCATATGTGGCACTGAATATGAAAATATAATACCAGAAGCAGGAAAAAAAACCCCAAAATTGTCACCTCCCAAAACGACCTTTGTCATTTGCCACTTTTTTTTTGTTTTTGTTTTTTTGTTAGCATGTTCTGTGCTACACAAAACAATGTCTGGAAGGCACATTCTACTCAAGTACAAACATCAGCAGTGTCTGCCTTGATGCCATGCAGACCCTTCCTAACCTTCCAGGCTTCTGGAACTGAACAGACACATGCACACAATTGTGTCTGATCTTTGTAAAGCTGCTGTAGAGGATGAGCTGGATCCTTAGCCAGGGGCAGATGCAGCAGCTCCAATTCCATGGGCAGTCACAGTGACTTGAAAAAATTGACCATTTGATCACACACCAACTGTGAGCTCTTAAGTGATTCCTTTTCCTAAGCTCATGGTGTATTGTTCCTCTGAAACTAAATGAGACAATGAAGTCTAGACCTCTTCAGAATATGGATTTTACATTTTCTTTTCCCAGATACTCTGCACTTTACTCTCAGATACTCTGCACTTTACCAACAAATGATACTGGAATTACTTTTTTTTTTGGTTATTATGCTAAACAAAGGTTGGGTTGAATGTTGTGGATAGATTACATCAGAGGGAACAGTGACACAATAATGGTTTATGATGGAAAAAACCAGGGTGATATGAAAAAATACATAGCAACCCTCTGTTTACACAGCTATTAAAATGTTATAGGGATCAAGAAAGACTAATGTAGAACATTTAGCATGGGAGGAAGCAAGCAGGATAGGTTAATGCACTTAGTGAAGCTGCTGCAGAAAACTGACAGAATCAGAGCTGGATGGGAAAATTTCCCTCTAGCTGATGGTCAGCTGCAACAAAGGAAAAGGTCAACAATCTGCTATGTGAGTGCAGCAGAGGACACATGACAGGAGAGAAAGCTTCAATCAAAGCATGGCTGGATCCCACCTCCCACACAGAACAGTGTTTTTCACATGACAGGGCTGCTTTCCATTAGGGTTGCCAGTGCCTACCTGGGTGCATCACCTGATATCAGCTGGCTCAAGAGCTGAGGACAGTTTGATTGCTCATATGTGTCTGTGTAGACAAATCCTCTGTATCTGTGGTCTCTGTTTGAAGCACAGGCTGTGACTGTGTGAGGGTTTGTTCTGCCTGTCACCTTTCCCTCCATACCATATGTTGTACTGCTGATTTACACTGAAAACCCAAGGCCTTGTCCAATTTTTGTTTGTGCAGCACAGAATGAGGCTTTGATCCTGCACTTAATGATTATTGGTGCACCCACTGACACCACAATAAAATATTACAATATTAACATTCTTCATTTTTCTCCAGACATGCACGGAACATTTGTCATCCTGATGCCCCTCAGCCTGATACTGATGATTTTTGGAGGAATGACTGGATTCATCAGTATTCTTGCCAGGGCCTACCTGCTGCTCCTAATGACTGGACTGCTTTTCCTTTTTGGAGGTACTAAATCCAACTCCTGGCCTAACTCTTTTAGATAACAAGAGGTTGCATCTGGGAAACATCACTTTGTTTCCCAGGGAATGAAAGCAAGAATTTGCTTTCAGAATAATGCTGGTGGTCATTCCCCTGGTGTCTGCTGGGGTCCTGGCTCTGGAATGGAGCTACAGAGTAAAGGCAAATATCCCTCCTTGGGGAGCGAGTCACCCTTTGAACAATCCATGTGTGCTGTGCCCGTTAACACCGAAGGTTCAATAATTTCTCAGCATGGGGCACAAATCCTTTACAGGCAGGCTAATGGGGTGATGGAAAAGTCACTGTGGAATTACCAAATCTTAGGGCTGCACAGATTTTGCAGCTGTTAAGAAAACTGATGTTTTTAAAAAGGCATTTGCATTGAGCTCCTGAAAAGAGACATTTTAGGCATTCCTGGCTTAGCCTCACTGCTAGTTTTGATCTAGAGTGGTGTCCCCAAACTGTGGGTCACAAAAGGAAACCCCCAGAAGTTATTTTAGTTTGAGTGTAACATTTCAATTTGAAGCTACTAAAATGCTTTTACGCTTCTTTTTATTTTTTTTTCTCCTGCTGTATCCAAACCCACTGTGTTTTAGAAAGCAATTTATGAATTAAAAAACCTAAAAACATTCTGTCAAAGTAGGAAAGCTGTGTTTAAATCTGCATTTTTTGTTCCAAGCAGATTTTCAGTGCTGTTTCATAATGTAACTTAAACCAGCGATTTTTCCCAACAGAAAAGGGGATCCTCAGAATTGGCTCTCATCAATTGCTCATACAGTCTTATTTTTAAGAAGAAAATGCTAAGAGATTGCTGGAAGCAAATGCTGCTGTCTCAAAGCCTTGACTGAGCTTTTTAGTCTGAAATGCTCTAACACAGACCAACCATGCCCCATTGTGATTGTCTCCCAAAAAGAAAAGCAAGTTCTAATTTGAGAGCAGCAGAAAGCTGTATTCACTGAAAAGGCTGGTGGAAAACTGCTCCAGATAGATATTCAGTGCAAGATGAAAGGCTGTGAAGTGCCAAGCATGATTATCCCCCTGGGGAGTGGAGCAGGGCCTTTCTGAGCTGTTTGGGCTGCAAACAGGGAAAGGAAACACAGAGAGAGGCAGTGCCAGGAGAGGGTGCCTGAGGAGGAGATTCTGCTACAGGGTCCCAGGAGAACATGGACAGACTCTGGGGTGGCCTCTGGCTGGGACCAGCCCCCCATCCTGCTCTGCCTGGATGCACAGAACAGTTTTGTAGGACACTCAAATTCACAAATTTGAGGGCTAGTTAGGCAGTTCTGTCTCAGCAGAAAGAGATATTTGGAGATTCCATTCCCAAAATGTGGGGTTTTTTAAACCCTCAGAACTGATATGTTCCACATGTCAGGGCATCCTATAGGCTTCCCTTTTTTTGTTTCTTTTTTTTTCCCCAAGGGAATTTGCACAGAATTCAGTGCACCTTGTTGAAAATGTCAACAAATCAGTCTTTTCCATTTCTGCTGACAAAAGATATGAAGCAATTTTTTCCCTCTCATTGGAGAGAACTAGAATAAGGTACAGGAAGCACATGATGGTTAAAATCAGGAATATGAGTATGAATTTGGACTGATGGATAACTCAACACTCTTCTGTCTGGGCTTGCCTCTAATCAAACATATATTTCTAGCAAAAAGGCAGCTCATCAGGACTTACTGTAATTTTATAGCCAAATTTTCTCTCTTGAATCAAATCCACTATTTTGTCCTGAAAGTGTTTCAGTATTTACTTTCCCTGGGCTGCAGTCCTTTTATCCAGGGCCTTGTTACTGCCTCTTCTCTGCTGCTGATCCAGCAAAGTGTGATTTCCATCAGAACCTGTCCTTTGGCTGACAGGGATGCCAGGCTCAGGATGCAGTGTGTACCTGTTCCAGATGTGCCATTCCCTACATTTGCCACCTTTTGAACAGTCTTTTCATTCTGAAAACATCTGGCTCCTTGTTTGAGTACCCTTATTAATATATCTTTAGTCTGTCCCAGAGATGTTTTTGACTCAGGTGTTTGGCAGTGATGGGTAGTCATGGAAACACAACACTTGGTGGGAGGTGATAGTGGAGACCAACAAATTTACATTAAACATTCAAAACTGACAATAGTCAGGGAACAGCCTCAATTCAGTGACCTGAAATACATGAATCTGGGTCTCTGTGGGCTTTCTTGCACACAGGGAGACAACAGTCCATGGTGCTCAGCAGTGAGGAATCAGCAACATTACAATCCAGTTCTGAAAGCAGAGCTGCACATGCATTAGATATCTGTAAAATACATGTTTATTGAGGGAGGCTTGCTGCCAGATGCTGTGGTTCAGTCTTTAACAGTGAGAACACATATTTCTCTGTGGACACAGATAACCCTGCCTTTACTTCCCTCTCGCCCTCATTGCCCAAGAAACCAACCTCAGCTAGATTTCAAAGATAATCTGTAAATCTGGCCTGGCTAGAATAGGAAGGAATGGCAAAGAGGCCCCAGGACATATCCAATTGATTGTTTTTAATTTCCTCAGTGGCTGCTAAGTAGCTGAACATGTTTCTTCTTTCAGCTCTCGTTACCCTGACAGGGATCAGTGTCTATATTGCATACTCAGCTGCTGCCTTCCAGGAAGCTGTTTGCCTGCTGAGGAGCAAGGATCTCCTGGTGGAAATCGACATCAGGTTTGGCTGGTCCCTGGCTCTGGTCTGGATCTCCTTTGTGGCAGAAGTGCTCACTGGGGCCGTGTTCCTGCTGGCAGCAAGAGTGGTGGGTCTGAAACGGCAGCGGGAGCAGGCTCTGTGAGCAGCAGGTGCCTTTGCAGCCACAGAGCCCTGCAGAGCCTGAAAACTCGGATTATTTGGTCCATCTGGTCACCAGGGGCAATAAGAGCTCAAGGCTGAGCGTCTTGTCAGCTGCTGTAAGCCTTTTTCCTCACGGGTGGCTGTAAAACACAAAGACTCTGGTAAATCAGTAAAACATTCCAGGTGTTGTCAATTAGGAAACCCTTGTGTCCTTAGAAGAGAGCGCATTGCAGTGTTTGTATTTCTGGAATAATTTCAACTGGCAGCTCATCAGACATCTCCATTTGTTGCTTAGAACAAGGCAGATCTCTTGCTTTCCTTTCTCCTTTCTGCTGTCTCAGCAGAGTGACCTTGCAGGCCAGATTTTGGTTTCTCCTGAGAGCTCTTAGAAGGATGGGGACCTCTTGGAGTGAGTGCAGAGGAGGCCATGGAGATTCTGAGAGGACTCAGCCCCTCTGCTCTGGAGATGGACTGAGAGAGCTGGGGCTGCTCAGCCTGGAGAAGAAAAGGCTCTGGGGAGACCTTAAAGCCCCTCCCAACACCTAAAGGGGCTCCAGGAGAGCTGGAAAGGGACTTTGGGCAGGGGCCAGGTGGTTGGAACAAGATGATATTTCTCATCCTTTCCAGCCCAAACCATTCCAGGATCCTCCAAACCAGCAGATGGTAGTGCCTGTGATGCTGAAGTTCTCCAGAGCAGTGCAGTGGTGAGTGCACTGCAAGAGAGAGATACAGCTGTTTTCCAGATGTTCTAACTAACTGCTGGGGACAGCCCCAATCTCTCAATGATCAGCCTACATGCTTCTCTCCTTCAGCTTTTTCAGCTCTGCAGTGCAGGAGATGTATCTGATGTATTTTCCAGTTTTTACTTTGCAGTTTTGATGATGCTTCTTTTTCATGAAGCTTGTGCACGTGCTTTATGCTAGAATGCTTATCTTGTGCTGAAACTGCTGAGTAAACTGAACATGCAGGACACATGAATTCCATTTTGGGTGCCAAGCAATCCAGTTTTTCCTCTTCAGTGCCCACTGAAGTTACTGAAGGAATTTCCCCCTGACTGCTGTGCTGAACAGAGGCTTGAATGCGATAACAGCTCCACCACATTTCTGTTGGATCACGCATTTCTGGAGGCCCTCAGCACTGTGCAGCTCAGGACTGTGACTCAGGAGCTGCCAGGCACCCTCTGTCCCTGGGCAAGTCCCTTGTACATTCTCCAGCAGCACAAAGGGCATCATTCACCTACCTCTGTTAAACACCAGAACAATTTTATCAGTGTGTCCTGTGTTTAAGATTGCACATTCACTCTGACCAAGCTCAGCTCTAATCTTAGTCCCAAAGTACCATTTCTTTTATGAAAAAATAATGGCAGGGAGCTTCTGAGAGCTGACAGACTTTGGAGATAGAAGGGAGCATTTTAATGCCATGTTGTGAATGGAGAACTGAGCCAGGAAACTTGTCCAAGGTCACATGAAACCAGAGTTTCTGAATCTTGGGCTGAGACCTTACTTGTCAGATCTTGCTTGTTATTAGCATTAAATCAGGCTCAAAATCCTCAATAGACTGAGCAGTAGAAATTCTGTGACTAACTAGTACAATTTTGTAATCTTAGCTGCTCCCACATTGGTTTCAGGTATTTTCCACGTTGCCTTATGTTGGGACCATGTAACTGAGTCATTTTACAAGTTAAAGCATACCAAATCAGCTCTATAAGAAGTGTAAGAAAAAAAATCCTTTGTAGTCAAAATTCCATGTGCTTAAGTGAAATATGTAAAATATAATTCTCTGTTTTGGTGCTGGTGAAACTATTTATAATGCAATTTGTATGATGTTACTCAGACATTACTGCAAGCTGTAACAGTAAAATATCATCTGAGTTATTTTTTGAATATTTATTACAGATGTTATTTTAAAGTGGTTTTGAGTGTTGTAAAATTAAATAAAATGACATCTCAGAGTGGGAATTATTTGCTGAGACGTGAAAGAACTAAGATATTTATTTTTCTTTACCTTTTTCTGCAGATTTATTCTACTGTTTTTATAATGCTTTTGAAGTTCCTGTGTCAGATGTGGTAGGTATTTAAAAGACATTTACACAGCTACAGTATAAAATACTCAAGTGATCAAATCTAATTAGCAAGCCAATGAATCTCTTATTGAATTAGAGCAATTCTCATTTCCATGCCTCTCCTAAATTTTTCATTCTGGCTTCCTGCAATATCTGGCACAATGCTAATAAAGAGTATCTTCTGCTCCTGAACGTTTGCATAACCCCTGAATTTCTCTGAAATTCCTTCTGAACACAAAGAACAAAAGATGGTTTGGAATAGTCAAATTAGCATTGAACATTTTGAAAAATTATACTGGGAAGAGGAAGCATTCTAGAAAGGACTTTATGTAATTTGAAAGAAATGACCTTATCAGGTTCTTCCTCTTGCTTAAATTAATGTTTATTTAATACCATGTCCTTTGCTGTGTTTTCCCCAAAATACTTTACTGAGATGAGGACAGAGGCTGCTCCCATTGCTCTGTGGTGAATTGCAAACTCATTGGTAATTTGCCACATCAAAAGTGAAGAAAAACAGATGTGCAGAGCAGAGCAGCACTGTCAGAGTGCCCACAGCTCCTGCCCCGCACCAGGCACTCCTTCCACTTCTTGAGGGGTGGCAGAGAGGTACAGGGGAGGACAGAAAAATCCTTGAATGTGAAAAATGTGGAAATATGCAGGATGTTTAGAGGCCATGCTGATGAATGACACCACAAGGATTCAGTGTGTGTCTGTGCTGTCCCCACAGAGCATCTCTGTGTCCCCACCTCTGATGGCCTGGGGACAGCACTGCTTTGGGCTCAGCTGCAGCCAAAGGAGCCCCAGGGATTTGTTATCCACAGCCAATAGCTCCTGTGGGGATGGCAGGGGCCTGTCACAGTCACGCCCTCCTCAGCTGGACAGGGCACACAAAATCTGCTGAGTTTGGGACAAGAAAAGGGCAGGGAGAGGTCACTTGCCAATTACTGTCATGGGCAAAACAGACTCAGCTTGAGGAAATTAGTTTAATTTATTAGCAGTCAGGGTAGGAGAATGAGAAATAAGCTCAAATCTTAAAAACACCTTCTACTCACCCCTCCCTTCTTTCCAGGCTTAACTTTACACAATTCCCTGCCTCCTACCCCCTGAATGGCAGAGTGGGACAAAGAATGGAGGTACAGTCTGCTCACCACACATTGCTTGTGAAGCATTTTCCTCCTCAGGGAGTGGACTCCTCACACTCTGCCCTGCTCCAGCATGGGGGCCCTCCCAAAGGGTCTTCCATGAACTCCTCCAATGTTCTTCCCCTGGGCTGCAGTTCTTCAGAAACGGATCCAGGGTGGGGCCCTTCCAGAGGCTGCAGTCCTTCAGGAACACCCTGCTCCAGCTGGGTCACAAACCCTGCCAGGACCCTGCTCCAGCCTGGGCTCCTCTCTCTGTGGGTGCTGCCAGGACCTGCTCCAGCCTGGGCTCCTCTCTCTGTGGGTGCTGCCAGGACCCTGCTCCAGCCTGGGCTCCTCTCTCTGTGGGTGCTGCCAGGACCTGCTCCAGCAGGGGCTGCCCAGGAGATCCCAGCCCCTCTGGCCATGCCCCCTCTCCAGTGTGGGCTCCTCCACAGCTCCTGGTGCATCTCTGCATCCCAGAGCTGCTCCCTGGGCACAGCCAGGGAATCCCAGCTCTGTCCTGAGCCCCTCAGGGCAGGGAATCTGCCCCTGAGCCCCTCCTGCCCTGCCCTGGGCTCTGCAGAGCTGCTCCTGTGCAATCCCAGCTCTGTCCCTGGGCCCCTCCTGCCCTGCCCTGGGCTCTGCAGAGCTGCTCCTCCCTCAGCTCTCACTCCTCTCTCAGCTGCAATTTGTCCTTGCACAGCTGTTTTTCCCCCATCCCAAATCTGCCACCCCAGAGGTGCTGCCCTGCCCTGCCCTGCCCAGTGGTGGCTCCGTCCTGGAGCTGCTGGCCTTGGCTCTTTTTTCAAATGAAATTCAATGGTCTCAACTATTTAAAGTGGAAAAAACAAAACCTAAAGGAATCTGAGCCTGCTTTATAAATAAAGATATCCTTTTCTCTGGTTCCTTTTGTAAATTCCTTGCAGTGAAGCAGTGCCTAGCCAAGTTAGCCAAGATATATCAATAAAAAACCCCCATGTCCCCATGCCTCCTGTCATTTCCATATTAACAGACTTAATTGCCAGAATGGAAAATATTAGAATAAATGCTCTGTGTTAGAGAGGCAAACTCTCCCCAGAGTTGATAACCATGCTCAGAGAGATTCCCTGCTGCTTCTAAGTGGGCACAGCTGTTAGCACAGTAATTATGAGCATGCAGGAATTTGGCCAGGTGTTCTTAAATGCCAGGTAAAACTACTTTGAAGGCCAGGTTCTGCCCAGAGTTTGAGCTATCCCTGGCTTAGGTCATGGGTCTTTAATTACTGGATTGCCATTCTAGTTAAATTGCAAAAATTACACTTTTTCTTGTTACTAAAGCATTGTAATGCTGTTTTACTGCAGTAGCTTCCTGTGCTTTACACATCAGCTCTAACCCTACTGAAGCCCTCAAACTTTGCCCTCCCTTTATGGCAGTGTTTGCAGCAGCCCTGTCCCTGTCATGGCCAAGTTTGGATGCTCTCAGTTTATCCTGAGATAAACTGAGAGCATCCAAATTGAGGGGTCAATCCCATTTTGTACCGGCACTAATCACCGTGGATGCTCTCAGCTGAGACACTCCATGAAAAAATAAAAAACCTTTTCTTTTTGGAGAGGTTTGCACAGAAGCAGTGGTCTGTGCTGACATCTCATGGCTGCTCTGAGAACTTGGCTCTGTTTGGGAACAACCCGTTCATTCCTGTGCCTGCAGCACTTGCAGGACAGCCAGACAAGCCCTGGCTTGGGGAAAGGCTTCAAGATCTTAAAGGTCTTCTCCAGCCTATTCTGTGATTCTGTGCTAATTTTTGTATGGTTGGAAGAGCAGGGGAAGCTGTCATGCTCACTACAGCCTTGCTCCTGGATTAAAGTTGCTCGTTGGCATCTGGAGTTAAAAATGTCAGGTGTTGGGAAATGTGCTGATCATCTTTTAAAAACAAAATAAACACAAAACGTTCTTAAAGGTTTTTATGCTGCTGTTCTTAGGAGATATAGCCGTGCCAATGATGGTTATGTTTTGATTTAGGTCAACCAGCACAGTTTTTTTAATACACTTGTGGCATAAATGTTGAAATTAACAGCTGAAGCTAATCAAATTGAATATCTGAAGCTGCAAACAATAATAATAAAAAAAAGTAGCTTTATATCATGGCTTATTTCCATGATATGACAGACTGTCTAAGAACTGAACAATTGAACCTGACTTCAGGATTGGTTCA